ACCATCTTCTCCATACTCCAACGCTCCTCCTCTTATACCGCAACATTGACTTCCATTTCATCTCTGTCACCTGCAGGCCTTCCTCCTTCTCCATCCTCAACCACACTCTCTCCACTTCCTTCCCTTGCCTTTGTTTTCGAATCTACCCCTTCAATCCTACCTCCGTCTCCAGTCTCATCTCCTCCTCCATACACTCTGCAATGGACTGCCCTCTCAACTACATCGCAAAGCCATCTACCTCGACTCAGACTTGGTCCTCATTGATGACATCATCAAGCTCATCGCAACGCCCCTCGGCTTTGGTTCGGTCCTCCTCACCACGTCGAAATACTGCAACACTAATTTACCTATTACTTCACACCATCGTTCTGGTGGAACCCGTCTCTGTCGCTCATGTTTGTTGGTCAGAGGGCTTGTTATTTCGACACGGGCGTGATGGTAATCGATTTGGAGCAATGGCGGGAGGGGGATTACACGAGGAAGATTGAGTGGATGGAGTTGCAGAAAAGTATGATCTACGAGCTGGGATTATTGCCACCATGTTCGCGATAAACATGGTTCTGGTATAACGGATTGAGAATGAAGATAGAGAGGGGGTCAACTTTGAGCTTGGTCATGGGTTAACAGTCAAACAAGACATTTCTATTAATCCGGGATATGAGTCCATCGTTTTAATTATTTTAGAATACTGGGTGAATAAAAATTATTTTAGAATACTGGATATAAAAAAAAATAGTATGTGATGCTAAGTGTACTTAACGTTATATGAGACTCATTTCAACTTAGAACGTAGCATTTATATTGCAATGTATCACAAAAAGATACTTCGGTCAATTTATCTAAAAATATTCAAAAAAAAGAGAACCCAATCAAGGTAATTTTTGAGAATATAATAATAATAGCATCACTTTAAGGGGGGAAAAAATACAACTGTCGATTAATTTTAACTCTTCACCTTATTGATTCAGCAGGTCCAAGGACTAGATGAAGTAACAATTAATATCTTTCCCCTCAAGATTCCTTTTTTTGGGAATAAAAACTAAATACTGTTTAATAGAAAGCAACGCAAAAAAAAAAAGAAAAAAGAAAAATCTCTCCCAAGATTTAAGATCGCGGTCCCAGTAATTAGTAACAGTTTAAGAGGGACATTTTCTGGGTTGGCCTTGTATCGATGCAAATTTGCGCTGTTTACGAGGGGAAGCTTCCTCTCATTCTTTTCTATCCTTTCTTTTCTCTTCGTTATTATCGTTGGATCGAAGTTTTAAGTTTTAGCATTTTATAAATTATAATTTTACATAAAAATATATCATTAAGTTTAAATGGTTGAAATTTAATTTAAATAATTCTCGATCTTATAAAATAAATTTAAATTGTAATATTTAAATTTAACTTGAACGATTTATCATTTAATTTTTTGTAAATTGTATAGAGTAAATTTTAACAATTTGCAATACATTTTTTCCCCAAACGTTAGAGGAAAAAGAAAAGTCCTTTCAAATCAGTCATCACAATATTATTATTTACAAAATTTTATCTAAGAAAGCTAATTCATTAAGTCTGTTTTAAAATGTAATTTTTTTAGTTTTATTAATTCGGCATAGCCAACAGTGTTACTCTTCTAATCCTATTTATAAGTCACTTCTAATATGTTTTACACAGATAAAAAAATTAAATTTTATTAATTTTCATTTAAAATTTAAAAACTTTTTAATTTTATTTCTATTTAATATATTATGTTTTATATAAATAAAATCAATATAATAAAAAATAAAAATAAAAATTTAGATATCTATATAAATTTTTTTAAAAATACCCCGTAAATACAACTCAAAAAACTCTTCTGTCTTGTAATGGAACGAAAATGCTATAAAACCCTAACATATTTAGGAGGCTGTCTGGTAAAAAGGAACGGTCCCATTGCATTAATTGCTGACATATTTTGCTTCCCTTCCAACGCTGGCCCTTTCATGGGCACGGGCACTGTCAAAAGACTACTACGTGTCTACGCATCGTTACTCTGTAATTCTATTGAACTGGAAAGTCTTGACCTCACTATCACCTTTTTTCTTAAGCTTTGTTAGTCTTATTCATAACATAAAAAGTTAGCGTTATTATTATATTATAATATATCGCGAAACGTGGGCAGTTACCCCTTGCTTCCTTATAAATTCGATTGATGTGCGCTCCCGCCTTTCTGCCTGCCTGTGCTGCAACACAGAAAGAGGACGCGCTGCGGCATTCTTTGTCTGGGGTCTACCTTCTTTTTTCTCTCGTACTTTCGATGGATGCTCACTCCCCTTCCTGGTCTGGCCTTCGCACTGACTTGCTCCTTAGCATGGCAAATCGCCTTGATTCTCGCATTGATCGTCTCTGCTTCCGTGTCATTTGCTATCCATGGCGCTCTGTTCTCCCTCCACCGTCCCGGGGGTCCGCTTCTCCCTCTCCACCTTTCAAGCTTCCCTTCCCAATGGGTCCCAACCTTCATCTGAATCCCATACGTCGTGGTTACTTCAACCTGACTCACTCCACTGTCTACTGCCTTCAATCCCTCAAGAGAATTTCAGACGCTTCGAAGACTACCGAGTGCTGGTTCATCAAGGTTGAGGAGACCAAAGAGCCTGGCAACTTTTGCCTCACGGATCCTCTCTCTTGGTTTGATTCTAAGAATCTGTTTCCACCTTTTCATAAAACATTGAGGGGTGTTTGGAGCATCAAAATTTTTTCGTAAAATGAGACAAACTTCTTCACATGTTATTTTGTACACTGTAAAAATACTTTTAAAATCATGATTTTAATTCCATCTAAACACCTCTTGAATCTACTTGATTATAGGGTTTCTGAGATAACTAAGGTTTATGATCTTCAATTTGTGGGAAATAATAAAATACCTGAACTAGACCTTCCTGAGAGTTTTTCTGTCCGCGCTATGAGAGTAGCTGTGTGTTCTGAGTGTCCTGCTTCTGCCGTTATGGCCATTCACACTGCTGGCCAATTGAGTATTTGGAGAAAGGGTGATAAGAAGTGGATTTGTATAAGCGATGGCGGAGACGGCACTTGTTATGATGACGTTGCTTACCACAATGGAAAATTTTATGCTGTGGATACCGACGGCTTAACTATTTCAATAGATGTGTCATTGAATACTGCACAAGTTGTCCCAGCAAATGCCTCGTTCTGGTTCTAATAGATATGTTCCTCTCCAAAGTACTTGCTGAGTTCTCCTGACGATTTATTCCTCCTAGATAGGCACTTCGATTCTGAGCATAGAGTTCCTGCGGGTCTTGATTATGATTCCGACAAGGATATTCTCCCCACTTATTTTCATGTTTATAAGTTGATTGAGGATAAACGCAAATGGGTTCCGGTGAAAAGCTTAGGAGATAGAGCTATATTTGTTGGTGAGGATTGCGCTTTCTCTGTCTCAGCTCAAGAATTTCGTGGATGCAAGAAGAATTGCATTTACTTTAACGAACGTGACTTCTTGTGTGGTGATCTTCGTCAACATTGTCCGGGCGGTGCTGCTGCATTGTTTGACATGGGGGAACGTTCTGCTAAGATGCTTTCCGGAGTATCTATCTATTCTGGACTTTTCTGGCCTCCGTCCTGTTGGTACGTTTATTGCTAAGATGCTCCACTTTTGTAACGCTTTGAATTTGAGACTTGCAATTACGAGTCTGCGTGGGTGTGTCTGACCCAATTGTTTATGTTGTCTTTTCCATGAATATTGGAAATGATTAATACTCTACTTGTTTCTTGAATGGGTTGCAGAGGTGAGGAAGCTCTTGTGATTGTTTGGCATTTTGGAAGACGCTGAATGGGTTGCATGGTGGCAGCAGACGCGTCCGTTTTGGTTTGAATTAACGATTAACGAAGACATTTGTTCTTGTGATATTGCGCATACCGTGTATGTTGTTCCGTAGGTACTGTTGCTTTTATGATGGTGTTTTGGGGGATGAACTCTTATGGCACGTATGTTATCATTTCAGAGTTATAACTTCATCGAGTACTCCTAATCTCTATGGTTTATGCGTGTTTTTAACTTTGTACTCTCACCTCTTGCATTTTTTAGTGAAGCTTAATTAGGTTTCAAAGCACGGTATTTGCCTGATTCTTGTATTTTGGTCACTATGTTCGTATGGTTGGGATTGAATGAAGCCACGGGAAAGGCACAATATTGCTGTTTTGTGTTGAACTTCTGACGTCTTGCCACAGTGTCCATATTTTCAATATATTGCGGTCCTAGTAGGAATGGATAAGCAGAGCGGTCCCATCGCATGGCTGGGATATGGTTTCGTTTCCAACGCTCCCTCCTCCATGGGCGGCGGTTTCCGGCTTGTCCAAGGACTACTCATCATTAATCTCTAGCTCAATTGAAACTGGAAACTGGAAAGTCTTCACATGACTATCCCCGTCTGTTTAGCTTTGTTCGTATCCTCAACAAAAAATAGCATTAAAAAAGCCCACTAAAATTAAAATTAAATGACATGTGAAGAGTATTTTGAATTAGACTTCGCTTCAAATATAAAGCTTATATGTCAAACTGCAGAAGTGTTTAATATAACTGATTTTCTTCTTTTTTTTTCTGGGAGACGTAGGCGGTTAATAAATATCAAAACCTGGTCTCCACTTAAAACTGGTAATATTGGTTGAACCCCGGGTCTAACCCGCCAAAAAAACATGTTAGGGTTGATCAAAAGCCAACCCGCTAATAAACAAGTCCTTTTAACTCGCACTACTAGGCCCGTAACCCGTGTGAGCTAGCCTATATTTTTACATTTTTAAAAATAGCATGTTTATAGTTTGTTTTTATGGGTAGAGTTAACCAACACATCTTCAAAGGAGTTTTTTTAATCTGACCTGACCAATCATAGGACTCATATTACCAGTCCTATCTCCACTTGCTTCTTACGGGTCATAATTCGATCGATGTGCATTTCCGCCTTTCTGCTGGTGCTGCAACATCAACAAGAGCACGCACTTGGTCGCTAGTCGGCCTTGGTTCCTTTCTGTTTCGGGTCGCTCCTTACTTGTGTTCTCCATGGATGCCCACTTCCCTTCGTGGTCTGGTCTTCGCAGTGATTTGCTCCTTAACATCGCAAATCGCCTTGGTTCTGGAATCGATCGTCTCTGCTTCTGTGCCGTTTGCCATTCCTGGCTCTCCGTTCTGCCTCCGCCGTCCGGTAGGTCCGCTTCTCCCTCTTCATCGATTAAGCTTCCCTCCCCCAGTGGGTCCCGAACCTCATCCCCAGGCTTCGTGGTTACTTCAACTTGGTTCACTCCACTGTCTACTGCCTTCAACCCCTCAAGAAAATTTCAGATGGTTGGAAAACTACCAAGTGCTGGCTCATCAACATTCAGGAGACCAAGAAGCCTGGCAAGATTCGCCTCACAGATCCTCTCTCTGGGTTTCAATCTAAGAATCTGTCTTCACGTCTTCTACAACATTGAATCTACTTGATTATAGGGTTTCTGAGATAACTAAGGTTTATGATCTTCAATTTGTGGGTAATAGTCGAATATCTGACTTAGATTTTCCTAAAGTCCACGCCAGGAAAGTGGCTGTGTGTTCTGCGGGTGCTGCTTTTGCGGTTATGGCGATTCTCTCTGGCCAGTTGATTATCTGGAGAAAGGGTGATGAGAAATGGATTCCAATAAGCAATGGCCGGCATGGCGCTCGTTATAATGATGTTGTTTACCACAACGGGAAATTTTACGCCGCGGATGACTCCGGCCGGCTTAACTATTTCAGTAGATTTGTCATTGAATATTGCGCTAGTTACCTCGGTAATGTCTCGTTCTGGTTATAATAATAGACTTGTTGCTGCATTAAGGTGCTTGCTGAGTTTTCTTGGCGATTTATTCCTCCTAGAAAGCGACTTCGATCCTGTGCGTTTATTTCTTGCGGGCTATCATCCTGATTTGGCAATCTTACAAGTCTGTGTGGGTGTGCCTGATATCATTGTATTAATGTTGTCTTTTCCACGAACATTTGAAATAATTAAGAATTAATTTGTTTCTTGAATGGATTGAAGAGGTGAGCAAGCTGTTGTGACTGTTGTGGCAGACGCGTCCGTTTCTGTTTAAATTAACAAAGATGTTTGTTCATTATGTGATGTTGTGGTTGTGCATACTATGGTGTTTTTGGGGATGCCTGACATGTGAGCATGTTGAATTTAGACTTATAAATTATTCTAATTCTCGTAAGCTCTATACTTAGCTTTATGCGTGCAAGCTGGCCTTCCTTACAGCCTGTTGCGCTATATCATGTTTTAACTTTGTGCGCTCACATATCTTGTATTGACTTTTGGTGTTTGCTTTTGAATTTTCATTGAAGGTCAGGTCGCAAAGCAATGTTTGCCTGATTTTCGTATTTTTTTTCCCGTATTCATCTGAGAAGCCATTTATAAGTCAAATTTAACTGTTTAGTGTCTCCAAGTGAAACTTTTAAATTTATAAGTCAAACTTATGAATATTAAATTCTTTAAGATCTATTAGTAGTTCATAAAATTTAGAAAATTCCGGTAAAATAAAATAAAATATAGAAAATTCGCTTGTGTTTTGATTGTTTAAGTTGAGACCTGTAAGTGATTCTTTTTTAGATTAGGTTGATATGCTTTTTTGAACAACTCATTTTTTATATATAAATAATTGAAATGAAAGAACATTGTTAATTATTATATTTCTCATATTTTGTATTTTGTTCACATATCCCGCTTCATTGAATGAGATAAAAAACCTAACTGTGAGAGAAGCGGGCTCCACCACAATGATAGTATTAACTTGTCAAGAGACCTAAGCGAAAATGAAGGGTAATAATAGATAGAGGCCGACGGATATTAGAGCCAGAGAAATGCGGCTAGTTTCAATCCATGTGGGCTTATCCACCATGGCCTTAAACAAGTATGAGTTCATTTGATTACAATGCTTGATTACGTGGACTACTTACAAAATTGGTCCAACTCCCTTAAAAACAGATTTTTATATTTAATATTAACTCTTCAAAACTTAATATAATTAAATTTTGGGGAAAACGCATTCATTAAACAAATCCATAACCACAAAAGTTCCTATCCTCTTCTCTCGCAGCATCCACCATCTTCCTCAGTTGACAGTTGTCGCCATCAATTGTAGAGCATTTCATTTTTTTTTCCAATCTTAAATGTGAAAAATTAATTTGTTAGCAAGATGTGCAAATAAAATTCGGTAATAGTCACGATAAATAGTTTTACTATATTTCACTCAAAAAAAAAAAGTTTTACCATAGGACCAAAGGCATAAGCTGTCAACATTTTACAGGCTAGTCACTTTTATAACAACAAAAAAAGGAAAAAAACCGAACAGGTGCAGAAATAGTACTTCACAAGACAAAGTATGTCTCCCTGAGCTACAGAAAGGTCAAACTCACCAGTCACCAACCAGGTTACTCTAGCAAGTGGCGACCCTTTTAACCCCAGTTCCTGGGAGATCTGAGCACTAATATCCATATATCGTGCTTCTGTGAGTGTTTGTTTTTCAGGCCATATATGTGCTTTCTAACTTGAAGGTTAAAAGAAAAAAGCAGTCTTACTCAAATTTTGGCTCCACTCCATGCGAAGCAGAGTTTCATATACAACTTCTGCTGTTACAGAAGGTTGAAGAACTAGCCGCCAACTACCTGTTGTGTAAGGGATCAGGAGAAGAGGGCACTTCTCTTTCAACGTTCGCGAAAGAGCTTCCATCTTTGTCACTGCTAAAGCTTCTCTTCCATGCTTGAAATTTGAGCCTATATTCCAATTCCTCTTTTACGTGTCGACCTTCCAAGACCTTGTGATTTAAACCTGAAAGAGTTAATAATATCAATAAAAAAACACTCCATTTGACCCCCGCAAACCCGCATGGCTTCCCTGCGTCTTTAAACATAAGCCTTCCTCCGTCTTTCACGTTATTTGGCGCAGAGATGGAAACCAGAAATCTCAGAGGTGGTATGACACACACACACACACCATAAGAGAGAGAGAGAGGGGGGAAGAGGAAGAGAAAGGGGCAGAGACTAGAGTTAAAGTATTTGAGGTTGGAAATGTTTGTTAGATGGTCAGATTGAGGCATATTTAATATGTGGGGTTTGGAGTTGTCCCCCGTCTCATACTCTAATTTCTAAATCCGTGGCCTTATTCATCATGACGAGCAGTCAAGCTCGTATTAGTATATATCAGTTAACAGTAAAATCAAGACTGTTCTCGTGGAAACAGGGCTCATGTTCAGAAAAGCACACGAGCATAACTATAGCGTAGCGTGAAGCCCTGTCTTCAAGGAAGTAGACGCCCTAATCCACTCCCTAACTATCTGATCTTTAATTTTTCATTTTATTTTATACAAGTAGCAGCACGGCGATTTGAATTTAGTGAATCACTGAACAACATTATTGTTATATTACACCTGGTAACTTTCCCAAACTAACAGCTGAACCGTCAAACCTTAGCCGACAATATCCCAGAAAAACACGGTTCATGTTTGACCATTTCGGAAACCACCAGCTGACATCGTTGATTTTAATGATTAATTCACAAATATTAAGGGACGGTTTAGAGCTTAAGTGTGCGTATTGATGATGAAATGCGGACTATAACCAGTGTCAGCTTTATTCATTGGGTATTGGCACTACATTAGTCAAATAAACGACTTCATAAGTCCAACCTTCAACCTAATCCTTGCCTATCGCACTGACCTAATTTCGTGATCAAGACTTGACTCTTCCTTCACGTGTTTTTGCTTCAAATCTAAAATGGTACCGTCTCCATAATCTGTCGGTGCAGTTTTCGACTTTTCGTAGGTCCAATGAAACTTTTATGACGGGAAAACTAATTTTCCGATTTGATGTGAAAACTTATCTTCCACAAAATGCAGTTGGACCAAACAAAATGTTATTTTTCACTAAAGAAATATGATTTGATGAATACATCATTTCATAAGGCAATTTTTCGAAATCTTAAATTAAATAATTTTGATTTAAGACATTTAGGTCATTGGTACCCTGCCAATACGTTTTTCTAAGACTAGTAGTACTCGATTTATTATTATTATTTTATAATATTCGTATAATACGATATAAATATCTCACAAAACTAGGCTGTTTGCCTTTGGGAGAAACAACAATAAAGGGCATATTTTAACTTGTGTGTTGTTGGTCTTAGCTTTCTAGTAATGCCTCCGTAATGGGGAGTTTGTTTCTTCCTTTGGACTAGCTTGTGGCGGGTTTTTCATTCTGTAATGTCACAGCGTTGGGATTTGCTGAACCTCTACCTTAGCTCAAGCAGTCGCGTCAGATCTATGTTACTTAAAATAAATTGACCTGGTGACTTGTGATGGGAAGCTTCATTCAATTTAAT